CAATTTCCGAGATCACCGTAAAATTTATATACAATTACAAACAATTGATAAATATACATTAGTTTAAAGTTTTGTAGCGTGTTTGATGAGCAATTCGCTAGGTCTACGCGTTTTCCCGAAATCAGTGAACACAAGTTTCATGTGCATTTCTTGTCCTAAAACCGTAAATGCTGAAAATCAATGCGTATTATTAAGTATAAACAGCCTTGACTGACAATTATAAAAGTTTGAAATGTAGAAAACTACAACAGGTCTGAACCACCTGTCTGTGATAAAATGTAAATGTAGTAAACCAGCATGTTTTGTTGTTCTGTCATCGGATTGGACAATGACTATGTGCGAAATAACAACAATAGCCATATAAGGTCTTCTCAGACACGCATATCCCGGCCGAATTTAGCTTCGATTGGGTCAAAAAAACAAAGATAATGCAGTTTTCCTTATAATTAAAATGTGTCTGAACTATTGAAACTATTCAAAAGGCTTCGTATTTATTCACTCATGTTTGAAAACTAAGTACATCGTTGTAGATTACATATAATTCGTCGTGGAAAAAGGGGCCAAAATAGCAGTTATGTCACATTATCCTTTTGTCCTACACTCGACACTCAGGGTCATTGAGCAGGGAGGGATCTATTTCGTGCAAGCACCTGCTGCGACACGGGACCTCGGTTTATACGGTCTCATCCGAAGGACTGTTCTCCACGTCCCACAATAGGATTCAAACTCGCGACTTAGGATCAACTCTATACTTCGCGACTTAAGGGGGATGTACGGCCACCTTTAGTACAGTGAGAGCAAAATGTAAACATTTCTTCAAATGGCTAGAATACATTATATTTTTATCAAATTTTAAGTCTTTTTGATAAAGATACAATAAATATGCATAACCGAATGCATGTTGTGCATAAATAATCTATACTTTTGCAGAAAAATGCTTTTGATATGCTCCTTAGAACTGCGCAGCTACAGAATTCAGCAAAACCTTAAAAAATCCAAAAAAATACGCAAACTGTGCATTAATGTTCTCTCTACAACCATTTGTTGAGAAAATGTCTAAATTTTGCACTTTTAAATGATAATTTCAAGTTCAAAACAATATTAATGTATCGTTGTCTTTAAAAAGAGTGTAAAGAACCATGAAAGTAGTTCATGGATAGCAGCACGTGGTCTATTTTTAGCACAGAATTTTGTTTTCCAGACCTCTTCTTAATATGGAAGGACATAACAATCTTTAAATGTAGAAGAGAATTACAGTTGCAAAATATTTCAAATAATATGAACACTTTTAAAAGAGGAAATGTGTTATAGTGTTTCTTGAAGAAATTTATTTAGTATTATTATCGAACAGTTGTTAAATAGTGTACGTATTGATATAAAAAAATCTTAAACTCTTTGATTCCAGGTAAGGAAAAATGAGCATCATCAAAGTTAAAGATTAAGAGTTTGTAAGTTTGAAACAGATAACTTATAATATCTATCAAAAGTTTAATGATCACCATTGAAACACAAAGAAATTAAACACATAAAATCGATATGAATGACCTTGTTTTAGTACCTACTAGTACGAGGGGTGATCAAAAAGTTTGCGAACTATCTCTATACATGTATATCTACAAAACCACAATTTAGATTAGAAACAAATTTGGTGCACAGAAGTTCTATAAATAGCATATGCTGAATAAAGTTTTGCTCACAATGTGAAAATAACGTCATTATGCAGGTACTTGTGACGAAAAATGGTTGTCTCAGTGGAACTCGTTCAACAAACGACTAAAATATTTATGGTATATCTTAAAAATGCCTTTGAAATATCGTATAAGAAATTATTCACAGTTTATTAAGACAAATGACTTCCTATAAATTCAATCAATGATTGGATAGGTCGTTTTAGTGAAGGAAGGCAGATGGTTAAATATGATACTTGTTATGTTGCCCGGTGAAAGCAGTTTGAAAAGGGATGTGTTTTTAATTAAGCAATATGCTATCAAAGACCTCCAATTTACACTTTGAAAAATACTTGAATATTTCAACAATAATATAACTATCAAATACCTAAGATATCGTTTACTTTTTGATCACCCCTTGTATACTCTGTCAAATAAACATTTACAATTTTCATTACAGCGGAGCAACATTTGAAAAGCAATGAAATCATTCAGAGTGGGTTAGAAGATTTTATGAATAAAAAACTTTTTTCCTATTTGCCCATTTTGTCAAAATGACAATTTTACAGAGTAAAGAAAAAATATCAACATTATTAAATATTTTATACCATCTTTAAAATGACGTTTGGTGGTCCTCCCAACTCAGGGAACAATTATTGGGTCGGTATTTATAGGTGAGAAAAAAAATCCTTAAAATTTAAACATATTTGTTGACGGGAAAAAAAACGTGTAATGGGATGTAAAAGAAAATTGAGTCGGGCCATTTCTAGGCAGTAGATCGGGAGAGAGGGCAACCAAATATTTTTATAACAAATGGTCTTATAAGGCTAGTACATATTCCATCACATACTTAGTAATGCAAAATGTTTGAATCTTTGGCACTATTTTGAAAAACAAACAGAGGATTTTCGGGGTGGGGTGGGGGTGGGGGGTTAGCGTCTCGCTTTTTTTTTGCGATGATAGACATAGCATATGCAATGGACCTTTCTTTGCAAACATTGTGCTTGCTTCTAAATTTCAAAGAAACAACTCAATATATATTTTATCAAGTTTCGTATGTTCAATGAGCGAGAACTTACAACGTTGTCAACATAATGAGACATGATGCGTTTTTATGTCCGAACATTACTCCATACAATGTGTGGGTCATTGCAAACAATCTAGCTATTTATGTGAGGTGCCTGAAGGAAATCTTATAAGTGCCTATTTTTTCTATCTAACTGCTAAACAAAATAGACATATATACCAACTTTTCGAATGTAAGACATGTAATTACACTTTGTTTTTCATGCACCGCATATTGTTTAACATTTTCAAATTAAATGCTAAGCATCCTCCTTGCAGTGCCCCATTTGAAAATAACTTCTATCGCCACAGAAAAAAGACCCGACGTAAACACATGTTTGGGACATTTTTTTTATCTTTTTTCTTGAGTTTTAAAGAAACCAACAAATTATCAAGACTAGTTCCATGAAAAAATAAATATAATCTTGGTAATAAACGCATCTATCCACAGCAGATATATGCACATGCCAACCACGTGCTCAGTGGAATGATATTAACGAGGAAACTCGAGCTGTAAACAGAACAGTTTTTCCCGATTTGCTGAAGTGGGGTTAAAATCGCGTTTTTTCATTAATCAGACGATGCGATGCAACAAATAAAAGTAGCAAGTAATATCACCTAATAATTATTACTTAGTAATTTCTTGTCTTGATGTTATTATGGTCGCATTCATTCTAAAATCAATGTTATTCGAACTCTGTGTGACAGAGGAATGGCGGACGAAATAAACACATGGCCTCAGGAATACACCCATATGACAAATCAAATTTTCAAGAATTATGGATAATGACAAGAAAAAAGCGAAACAAATGGTTGTAGCCATATTATCAATGAATCGAACTAACTCCATTTTCAATGCATTTTTCATCTCATGAATGCTGTAGCTGTGCAGTTCTAACATGATTAATTTCCTTCTTATCAAGACAAAATAAACTTAATTATTAACTAATTTTGGTCTCTAACAGTAGGTAATAATTAGTGCATTAGCACTTTGAGTAACTTTGGGCTAGTTTAGTAGAGTATTAAGCGCATTCTTGGTATTTCTTAGTTTACACCAGACTAGATCCAATATAGCTTGTATATCCCCCTTAAGAACCCTCTCTACACTGCACACTATATTTTTCTGCAGTTAGAGGTTCTTCCCTTAGATCTAAATACTAAAAAAATGAAATTTACAATATATTACTCAGTTAGTAATTAATATTAGTATCTTAACATTTTAAAAGAAAAAAAAATAATTGAACATTTTGTTTGTATTTATTTTCTCTATTGAAGTAATTAACAGTGATATTTCTATTCAGTGATACTGTGTTGTCTTTGAACATTTTTCCCGGGGGTAAATGCCACGCTCCATACAGTGAAAATTAAATAAATAACCTCAATATTAATTCCTTTATACAATATATTTTTCTCAAAGTCTAAAAAAATTTGCACTTGTGTAGAGAGGGTCCTTAACAGCAGACGCTTAATCCACTGCGCCATGCGGGCGAAGTGACAGATGGACAAACTTACACACGAATGAGATTTAACAACGTCCCCATGCTTTTGCGAGAGCGGGGAACAAAAATAGCAGTAAATAAAGACCAGCTCCTGGAAATTTTTTAAGCATTGAACTGTTGAACGCTAGTTTTGAAATACTACGCTACAAGTAATGGCTGACGGAAGATTTTTTAAGTCAAAAATTGGAAATCATTTTTTGAAATGGATTCGAAACAAAGTTTTAAAATGCTTTTGTGTGTATTTCAACGGAGGAGTAAATCTTCCTCGGTGACACATGCAGTATATAAGCACTTTAGCCGCCAAATTCTTTACCCCACGATTTTTGCGTTTACTGTAGAAGACTGTGTATCTTATTCTAAGTTTCTTCAAAGTATTTACTTTGAGTGTAATAAACTGGATTACTGGTTTATTTTGCTATAAGAACATTAATAAATTACTTGTGCCGAATCCAGTGTTGGAATCTGTCCTACAAAAGACCCGGTGACAATGGCACCCAACGTGGGGCTGATTCTGTTTATCCATTTTTTTTTTTATTATTTATTAGCTGTCATTTTGAAAGCGCTGTCGATTTCATCGCGCATTGTGTGTGGTGTTCATTATAACGTGTTGTCCACTGTCAATGTATTTTCTGAATTTTTGTTGAATGTTGTACATGTTGGTGTTCAACGTACCTCCCATTCCCCAACCTATTTTTTTTCCCTGCGCAGAGCGACACACTATACTATACAGGTATTACTAACCCAGCAACTGCACGACGTGGGACTCTTGGACAGCTTGGACTGACAATCAGGTATTTGTGTTCTCAGTTATCAATGTCACTGTGTATATATTTTGAGTTTGCATGTGTGTGATAGTGTTTATGTGCAGCCTGTTGATAAATGCGCAACGCGTTATTTGCTTTTATTTTGCTTGAAATTTGTTTTCATCATTTGCAATTTGAAATCAAAATGTCAAATACTGAAGGAGCAACAGGTGATATGGGTGATAAGAAAGAGTTGCAAGATCTCATCGATTCAATTAATAGTAAACAACAGTTGAGAGTTTTGACAAAGGAAGAGTATGACAGGTTAGTCAATAAGGAACCCCCTGCAGGTGTTACATTTCAACTCCCCACTAGTACACCTAAGGTTCAACTCAAGTTTGGTGAAGGAGCTATTCCTAAATTTGCACCCAAAGAATCATTACTTTCACCAAGGTATTTTAGCCCATCTGCTCTGTATCATGACCCAAATCCTGCTCTGTGTCAGATTCCCAACCCTAACTCTGTTAAACTACCCACATTTAGTGGAAGTGAACCACTGCAAAAAGGAGAAGTAAGTTTTGATGTGTGGTCTTATGAAGTTAGGTGTTTGAAAAATCAATTACCTGAACATGTTTTGTTACATTCTGTTAGAAGTTCGTTAAAAGGCTTAGCCAGAGAGATGTTAATTCCTCTCGGAGAGTTTGCTACTGTCAATGTTATCCTGATGAAGCTGGAAGATTTCTATGGAAATGTCAGCACCGCAGAGAACATCATGCAGAACTTCTACAGTGATCATCAGAAAGAAGGTGAGAGCATTGTTGCCTATGGCTCACGATTAGAACAAACTGTTTCAAAAGCTGTTAGACTTGGTCATGTAGATGTAGTAGCAAAAGATTCTATGCTAAGATCAAAATTTTGGTCTGGGTTGAGAAATCCCCAGTTGAGAAATGCATCTAGAAATAAATATGAAACTATCAAAGAATTTCAGACTCTGTTAAGAGAAGTTAGACAGATAGAGCAAGAAGAATTGAATTTAGCTATTGCTAAACCAGTTGAATATACATGTAGTGCTGTATCAACAAATGAAGCTTTAAATGTAGAGAAACAGCTTAGTGAAATACTGAGTCAGATGAAGAAGCTAGACTCTAGAATGAGTAAATTAGAACAAGATCAAAAGGATTTAACGAATGTAGAATATTTTCAGACATATAAGCCGCAAGAGAACTTGAACAACACAAGAGGCAACTCCAGAAGCAGAGGAAATTACAGATACCAGAACTGGAGAGGAAGAGGAAATTTCTCACAGCAGAACGGTAACAATAGAGGTTATGGTAAAAGCCAGAGAGGTAATGATTTAAACTAGCAGCATCTTCTGTTGCAGGGCGAACAGAAGATCAATTTGATAAAAGCCCTACTTTACCTCCCAATCAAGATCTATTGACAAGACTTGTAGGTAGTCCAAATAAAGCAGATATTACTGTATTTGGTACCAAGACCAAGGCACTTATTGACTCGGGGTCTATGGTTACATGTATTTCAGAATCTTTCTATGAGTCTCTCAAACCTATGCCTGAACTGTTAAGTTTGACAAACTTTGGGCCTAGTGTGAGAAGTGCCAATGGCAGTGAACTACCATACACATGTTATATAGAGATGCAAATCAATGTTCCTTGTATGAATGAATTTTCATGCCACATTCCTGCTCTTGTTGGACTTGAAACAAATTATACAAAGAATGTCCCTGTTATCATAGGTACTAACTTTACTCGTCTTTGCAGACAAAACTGTGAGATGATGTCTCAGACATCAGACATACCAGACGAGTGGCAGCTGGCATTCAAGAGCATGAACGATGAGACACCGGTCAGGACAACAAATAAACATACCATTACAGTTGCTCCAAATGAGACCAAAGTCATTAGAGGTATTGTAAAAAATGTAAATAGTATTGATTGTGCATTGACAGAACAAACTAATACCAGTCTGTCTGGTGATCTTGTCATATGTCCTAGAGTTATTCCCCTTACCCAGGGTAAACACACAGTTACCATTCCTGTTAGGGTGTGTAATCTTTCTGTCAAATCTGTTCAGATACCTCCCAAATCACTTTTATGTTCTATTCATGGTGTAAAGGTACTAGTAGTAGATTTTTGGTCTCCTGAATCTCAAAACCCAGGTAAGAAGCCCAGAAAATCTTTGGAGGATTTGAATTTACAGATTACTGAGGAAAACCTTACTCCAGATCAGGTAAGTGTAGCCAAGGAATTTCTAGGAAATTGACACACTTGTTTTCTGATGGCCCAACAGACATTGGCAAGACAAAACTATTGAAGCATGAAATCAAGTTAACAGTTGAAACGCCATTTAAAGTTGCCTACAGACGCATACTGCCAGGAATGTTGGAAGAAGTTAGACAACATGTTAAGGAGATGTTGGATATTTGTGCCATAAGACCATCCCAGAGCCCATTCTCATCTAACATTGTCCTGGTTAGGAAGAAAGATGGCAGTCTTCGATTATAGGAAACTTAACGCTCGTACCATCAAAGATGCCTACAACTTACCAAGAATAGATGACACCATAGACAGACTGATAGGATCCAAATACTTCTCAAAATTAGACCTGACAAGATCCTATTGGCAAGTGGAAATTGAAGAAAAAGACAAGGAAAAGACAGCATTTTCAGTAAGTGGGATAGGCCATGTTGAATGCAACAGAATGGGTTTTGGACTTAAAATGCCCCAGCCACATTCCAACGGCTGATGGAACGCTGTATGGGTGAGTTAAATTTAAGAGACTGTTTAGTGTTTTTGGATGACATCTTAATATTCTCTCAAACTTTTGACGAACATCTTGACCGACTGACTGCAGTGTTTAAAAGACTGGAAAAAATTGTTTAAAATTAAAGGCTAAGAAATGTGAGTTCTTTAAGCACAGCGTGACATACTTAGGCCATGTGGTAAGTAAGGAAGGAGTAGCCACTGGCTACCTCTCCAGAAAAGACCAAAGCAATTTCAACCTGGCAGAGACCTTACAACATCAAGACTCTCAGGACATTCCTCGGTTTTGCAGGTTATTATAGGAGATACGTCCAGAACTATTCCAAAGTGGTGAAACCATTAAACGACTTACTGAAAGGACACTCTACAAATAAGCAAGCTAAAGGTAAGACAAAGAACAAACCACCTCCATGGAAATGGGATGATGAGGAAGAGAAAGCTTTTCAGGAAATTAAAGGTAAGTTAACATCCCCACCAATCCTTGCATTTGCAGATTTTGATGCACCATTCACTCTGCACACTGACGCATCAACAACAGGACTTGGAGCTGTCCTTTACCAAGACCAAAATGGACAGAAGCGAATGATTGCAAACGCCAGTAGAGGACTCAAGAACAGCGAGAAACATTATCCAGCCCACAAGTTGGAATTTCTCTCCCTGAAGTGGGCAGTGACGGAAAAGTTCCACGATTACCTTTACGGGAATACCTTCAAGGTTGTAACGGATAATAATCCCCTCACTTATATTCTCACTACTGCAAGGCTAGATGCAACAGGATGGCTCGCTGCACTGAAGAATATGGAACACCGTAACTGCCTCATGTGGAGAACTTTCATTATATGCTGGTACTTTGTCATTATATGATGGTATTTTATCATTATATGGTGGAAAATGTACTTTTACCCGTCAACTTTATAACATGTATGACCATGAGTCTACAGGACATTGGGGAAGCAGGTAATTGTTCAGATGTATCACAACCCTCACCTTTATCCCTGACTCTATTCAGATAGATGACTGATGTGTTTTTAGTAATGTTGATTGGGCAAAGAACAGTCATCTGACAAGGTCATTAAGAGAGTAGTAGAATTATTACAAGGTGACTTTATCCCTTCAAATGCCACTTTAAAAGCAGAATCTCAAGAACTGAGTAAATTTTTGAGGGAATCAAGAAAATTGTGTTTGATTAATGGTATATTGTACCGAAAAACTGTGTTGAATAATGAAAATGTCAAACAATTGGTATTACCAGCTTCTTTCAGGGAAACAGCATTCCATTTATTACACAGAAATTTAGGACACCATGGCCGAGACAGAACTCTGCAACAGATGAGAGAAAATTTTTACTGGCCTGGTCTCGAGCATGACATCACAGAGAGAATCAGAACCTGTGACAGATGTGTAAAATTTAAATCTCCAGAGAAAGTATCAGCAGAACTTGTCAACATCAAATCATATCAACCTTTAGATCTTTAGTGTATTGATTATTTGTCTCTTGAGAAAAGCAAAGGTGGTTATGAGAATATCTTAGTAATCACGGATCATTTTACGAGATACGCCCAAGCTTTTCCATCTCGTAATCAAACTGCAAAAACTACAGCTAGAATTCTATTTGAAAATTTTATTGTACACTATGGTTTTCCCAACAGACTTCACAGCGACCAGGGTCGGAATTTTACCAGTCATGTCATCAAGGAGCTGTGTAAACTAGCTGGAGTACAACAGTCACGTACCACGCCCTACCACCCTATGGGAAACGGCATGGTAGAACGTACAGTTCAACCAAACGTTACTTAAGATCCTCGGTACGTAGAATGACAAACAGAAAGAGGATTGGAATTCGTAATTAAGTACCTTAGTTCACGCGTACAACGTTACCAAACATGACAGTACAGGTTTTTCGCCATTTTTTCTCATGCTTGGCCGACATCCGCGTTTGTCGATTGACGCATATTTAGGCTTAGATACCGGTTGTACTGAGAAGCCTAACAGTCGAGATAACTACTCTAAAAAACTTCAAAAACAGTTAGAATACGCTGAAGAGAATAAAAATGACTTTAGACATCCTCCCCCTTAGAAAACAGGGACCCCACCATCATTGTTTTTATTATTATTTTTTATTTGCTTCTCAGGAAATCTTGGGCTGGATTTTTTTTTACTGAGGTGTGACATCCCCCCATTCCGAAAAAAAATTCTGGATCTACGCCTGTAATAGTGTACATACTGAATGTCCGCAACGGGAGATAACTTGACAATGTGAAATTTGTCGACTGTGGCATGCGATGATCTTTGACCCTTTTTGAACTTCAACCTAACCATTTGTATTTATTTATTTTTAATTATGCAATCTATACTAAATCTTGTACTTACCGAATGTCATAGGTCCTGACAACGAATTCATGAAATATAATCCATATAATCCAATTAAAACACAAATGATTTTAACTGACCACAATGCATCGTCAGCATACATGTGCTAAATAATCTCATTCAGCAAACCTTTGCTGATTCCGTCGCCTTCATTAGATGAAGTATGAATCGGCCGAGTGGTGGTATCTAATAATATGATATTGGGTGACGCAAACCCTATGTGAATGTAGAAATTTTCAATAAGATGTTCACGAGCAAAAATGTTTAGTACAAGAACAAATTTCAAACTATCAGAATAAACCATAACTTTGCCATCTAGGTCTATTTTAAAAAATGTGTGTGAGAGAGAGAGAGAGAGAGAGAGAGAGAGAGAGAGAGAGTGTGTGTGATGGTGAGGGGGGGATAGGCATTGACAAATTAATTGGGCTGTATTTTCAATGGGTTTTTTTTCCCTGACCAAGTACTAAAATCAGTTTGCACATTTTGATAAATTCATCAAAAACGTTTTGTACTAAAAATAATATTTTATGTCGTTGAGAAAGTAAATTTCAAAAGTTCCAAATTATGGGCAAAATATTTATCAGAATCTAATTAAGTAATTTACTTTATTAATTAAATTCTGTTTTTTCAGACTGGTAATGAATTAAGTATACAAAATACATCTATGAGGCTCATAGATCATATGCAGGGACGTAGCAACAGGGAGGGGGCACTTTTTTCCCCAATAATACCTTTACTATAGTAAATGTTCATTGAAAGGATGGTTGGCCTCCTCACTTTTTACCGTAGTAAAGTGATATAAAGTATTGTAAGGAAAAAAATTGGTAGTAATAGTAAGTTGGCTATCCCCCCCCCCCCCCCGGGATAGGATTTTCGAGTTTAAGGGGGCTGACTATAATTTTATTGTGTGAAAACTACAATAGCGAAACTCTTCATTTTTATACCATATATAACTTACATTAACTTCAGTGTACATGCAAAGTTTGGGGGAAATTTTTTTTGCATCAGTATTTTTGAGGGACCGTCTCAAAATACAGGTACATTTACTATAGAATTATATAGGAAAATGCCAATTTCTAGCACATTAAAGCAAATTATACAAATACTACAATAGACATTTTGTTCAAACTAAAATATTTGATGAGTAATACTATATTATACAATATATGTAAGAAACACAAAATTCTACCGTCTTGTTACCAGAGGGGGCATCTCAAAATGCCAAAAAATTAGCAAATTTTTACTATTTTTACAGAGTATTACTAAATATGACGTACACAATGGATTCACATGAAAACATAATAAATATATTGGAGATATTCTCAAATTTCTATGTTTTAAATTTCAAGAGCGTATGTTCCTTACTTTTTCTTTAATAATATTTTTATTACCCCTTTCTTTAAGAGCTACAGATTATCATAACGTCAAAAACACACTGCAACGACGCCAACCTACCTATCAATTGCAAAATCGGTTAAAAAAAATCAGTTATATCAAATTGTAATTAAATTTTTATACCTATAATTTCTTAATTTTGTTTAAATTTTAATAATTAAGCGGAAAAAGTTGCATTAAAACAGTAAATACGCTTCATTTTACTATGATGCGCGAAACATTGCGCAATGGAAACTATAGTCGTCCCCCTTAAGTTAATTTTCCTTTTTTTTCTCTCTCTCTTTTTTTTTGCTTGTTACGAGTTTCGCGTTATATCGCGAAAGTTACGCGTTTATTCGCCTTTTATTTTTTTACCTACCAAAATGAGCTCAATGGGCTTTCGTAGCTTGTCAATTTTTTCAGGTAAGTAAAAAAAATTTTTTTGAGTTTCCCCCCCGCCCCCACTTTCAAAAACGATGCTACGTGCCTGATATTGTCACCTGAAAATTTTATGCTCAATTTAACGAATACATGTACGGAGATAATTATAGAATTATTTTGACTTTTTCCTTGGAAAGCCCAATATGAAGGAGTGTGTATTTAGAGACAAACACCTTAGTGCGGATAAAAATGTCTCATGACAGCATCTAGTATTATTCATTTGAAAACTCCTAGTGCAATACAGGGTTTTTCTCATGATTCTCAGGATACCATGTTTACATCTAGATCTGATTCTGCATCTACAGGTAATTCTAC